CGTACCAATGCCTTTCCTACCATAGGGAGTTTGCACATACATGTCCTCTCATTCTTCACGCTTCATCTTGGAGACTCATGACCATTCCAAGGGAATTGTCTCTGTTTTTATGGTAACACAGTCTCCTTTATAGAAAACTTTTGAGAATTTCACACACCCCAAAGGAACTGATTCTAAAATGCAATGAAGCTACAATGAAGATGCAAAACACACAGAACCAGCAGAATTTCTTCATGACATAAAATTATTTGACAATAGCATCAAAAATATATAACAATAAATTTAACCAAGGAAGTGAAAAATATGGGTGACAAAACTAGGAAAATATTAATGGAAATAATATGACCCAAATAGATGATAAGGTCCCCTATGTTCGTGGACTGGATGTGTCAATATTGATCAAATGTCCATGCCACCAAAAACAGTCTAAATTCAATACAACCCCTATCAAAATTCCAGTGTCACCTCTGACCAAAATAGAAATGTTATCCAGCCACAAAAGATCTTAAATACACAGAGAAATCTTGAGCAAAAAGAAAGCAGAAGGCATTGTCTTCTACCTGACTCCAAAATCTATTACAAAACAAAAATAATTAAAAGGGTATGAAATAGTTCCCAACAGATGGCACAGAGGTCAAGAATATTGGCTACTCTTGCAGAGGACCTGTATTCAGTTCCTAGCATCCACATGATGGCTCACTACCAACTGTAGCTACACTTACTAGGATCTGCTGCCTTCTTCTGACCTCTGTGAGCACCAGGCACCTGTGGTACATATATGCAAGCAAAACACTCATATGCATAAAATGGAAAAAAGTAAATGTTCATAAACTGTAGCAGCAATGGAGATTGATCTGGAATAGGGCAGAGAGCCCAGGAATAAAGCTGGGCATTTACAGTCAAGTCAGAATTTATAAACATCTATCTGTTAAGAGGCTAGCCTCCAAAAATGTATAAGATCTCAATTCAAAAACAAGAAAACGAATAACCTATTCTAAAAATATAAAAAGTACCTGAATATACATTTCTTAAAAGAAGACCCAAAATGACCAAAGACCAATTCTCATCATCTGGGGTATGCAAATGGGTACAAGGAGACACCTCACATGTGATAGAATGTTTATTATAAGCAATATGAAAGAGTGCTGAGGCCAGCAACATTGCTCAGTGGGTAAAGGCGCTAAGTTTGATGGCTTGAGTTAAATACCTGGGACCCACACGGTAGAGGGCAAGAACTGACTTCTGCAAGTTGTCCTCTACACATACGTTGTGACATGTGCATCGATAAATATAATTTTAAAAATTAAATGCATGGAAAAAGGAGACTTGTATACTGTGAATGAGAATGTAAATTCATGTAGTCATTAATGGAAAACAGTGTTGGGGCTCCTCAGGAAACAAGAAATAGAGTTATTGTTTGGTTCAGCAGTCTCACTTCTGGGTGCATAGCCAAAGAAACTGAAAGCACCTTGGCAAAGAGCTAGTGACTCTCCTGTGTTCATTTCAGCATTATGAACAATGAGCAAGGTATGATATCAACCTGCTTTCATTGTCAGAGGGTGTGGTGTTGGTGATAATGAAATACTATTAGGTCATTAAAAAGAGGGAACTCCTGTTTCTTTCAGTAGGGATGAACCTGGAAGATGCTATATTAAGGCAAGTAAGCAGGGTGCAGAAGAACACAGACTATATAGCCTCAAGTGGGGCATCTAAGAGTTCAAAGCATCCAACCATGGCTCTGAGAAGTAGAGGAAAGATGTGGATGGACACTGGGTGATGTTGATCAGAGTTGAAACTGGGAAGAATGAGCTTCAGCTGTCCATTGTAAGGACTACAGATGTTAAATATTAAAGAACATATCTCATATTTTCAAACTGCCAAAGGGGATTTTAAATGCTTTCACCACACCAAAATTCTAAGTACCTGGATAGTTTTGTTTGTTTACCTAATTTGATCAACCCATAGTGAAAATATGTATCAAAAAATGACATCATCTGCCAGAAAAATACTGTTATGAAAAAAGTCACTTCTTCATATAGGACTTCCCAGCTATTCTATTTAAAGACACCTTACTCTCCACAAGGCCACTCCAAGTTCTTTATCAGCACAGATTTCAAGCATAGATTCATCATAGTTTCATCTTTTACCAGCTTGTCTTTGACAGATCTAAATCTTCCTGGGGCTGTAGTGGTAAGGGTTAAGAGAACCCCTGTAGTTAGGGTTCATCAGAAGTTTATAAGGAAGCATGCCTGGAGGGACACTCGTGTAAACTCGGTTACTTGGGAAGCTGAGGGTGGGTGTTTTTGAGAGTTCAAGCTCAGGCTGGGTTACATAGTGAGGCTCTACCTCAGAATAAAAAGGAAAGAGGGCTTTCCAGCAGACAGAAAAGTTTAGAGGAGGCAAGTTTGGTGGTAATGGTTGAATTCCTACCAGTGTAAGGTAGACCAGAGTTCCCCCAAAAGAGATTGTTAAATAAACTGCACGGTCTCTTCAACTGAAGTATTTGACAAACTTTTCATCTGGTAATTTAAAAAGAAAGGCAGTTGAATTTCATGAGTGACCAGTAGCTTGTTAGGGTTAGCCTCTTCACATTGAACTTTGCACAAATGTTTCAAAGAAAATGCTTGATGTTGCTAGAAAGAAACCAAAAGTAGATACACATAGAAGAGAGTCCCTGCGTTAAGGGGAGGTAGCCACCCACATCTGCCCAGGTAAAACAGAAAGCTTGGCCCAGAGCAGCTCCAACTAAGGCAGAGAGCTGCGGGTGTAATGGTTTAATGAGCAGCGTACAAACAGAGGGAAGAGTGTGGGGACTCAGGAGATGTTTCAGTTTCTCTCAAGAGGATCACCCAAGGCTTTGCTGAAACTGTACCACATACCCACCCCTCCCTCAGACCAGTTCTGTTTCTCATTCTTGCTGACAGTTGTTGATTGGGGTGGCACTCTTCAATAGGCCTGACTTAAGATGCTACGGGAAGAGAGGCCCCTATGAGGAACCTGACACAAAACAATGGAAGTATTTTTAAATATATGTTTCTGTCAAGTGCAACAGAACATCACTGAGATGGGTCTGAGACATAAAGTTAGTCTCAGGGCTACAGAGGTGGCGTCATCAGTAAGGTTCTTCCCATGGAAATGTGAAGAGCAGAATTGGGGTCTCTAGCTCCCAGGTAAAAATCCAGGCACAACAGTGTACACTAGTGCCTTGAGGAGGTGTGGCTTGATCAGAAAGGGGCACAGGGGAACTTTCTGCGGTGGCAGAAGCAGGCCAACACCACCCCCACCTTATTATTTAACAAAGAATTGGACTGTAAAGACTTTAAGTTTTCCTTAAAGTAAAATTTACAAGCCGGGCTGTGGTGGCGCACGCCTTTAATCCCAGCACTTGGGAGGCAGAGGCAGGTGGATGTCTGTGAGTTCGAGACCAGCCTGGTCTACAGAGCTAGTTCCAGGACAGGCTCCAAAGCCACAGAGAAACCCTGTCTCGAAAAACCAAAAAAAAAAAAAAAAGTAAAATTTACAATAATAACATGTAAAAATATGACAGAAACATATAGTTCAGTTTTGTGGCTTAAGTAGCCCTTATTCTCAATCTCAAATAAACATTGAAGTTTTAAAAATTATTCCTGGGTTGGTGAGATGGCTCGAGCTCAGACAGTTCAGTCTCCAGTCCCACAGAGTGGAAGGAGAGAACGCATACCTGCCTGCACATTGTTCTCTGGCTCCCACGGAGTGCATGTACACACACACACACACACACACACACACACACACACACTTGCACACCAAATCCAAAAGTAAGCAAATGAAATAAATGATTTCCAGAAACTTGTGTGTGTTCGTGTGTGTCTGCGTGCATAGTCTGTTTCAGTTACCACAACAAAACGCCACAGACCATATGGCTTAAACAGCAGGAATTTATTTTCTCACAATCCGGACATCTGACAGCAGGATGTAGCATGGTGGGGTCTGGTGAGGGCACCTCCCAGCTTGCAGATGACCGCCTTTATTTGTGTTCTTACTAGGCGCAGAGGGTGTCCCTCATAAAAAGAGTTCTACTCCCATTCCGTGTTTCCATCATTAACACTTACCCAATTCCAGTCACCCCCCAAAGGCCTCATTTCCAGATCTCTTCTCACTGGGGATCAGATCTTCAACACATGAACTTAATGTGGGGGACATCTCAATCTTCAACATTATACATTCAAGAACATTTGGAAGACATAAATAGAAAAAGGTCAAATAACATATGTTACCAAAATATATTCATTGCTGTGACTTATTTATAATTTCCAAGTTGTGATACTCTTATATGGCTGTAGTTATTCTATACATGTAATTTTGTATTATGATTATTTCTTTTTCAGTTGCTGGGATACAACTCAGAGTTTCCTGCATGCTCGGCCCCTCTCCACTGAACTATAGCCCCAGCCATTTAAACATTTTTATTATTTATTTGTCATTTAATTCTGAGAGAGGCTTTTACTAAGTTATTCAAGCTGGCTTTGGACTCACTATAGCTCAAGCAGGCCTTGAACTATTGATCTACCTGTCTCTGCCTCCATTGTAGCTGTGAATGTTGCTGGCATGGGCTAGCAAGCTCAGGCATGATGTGTTTAAGTTTACAATACAAAACTTAGTATTGTTACTAAAGATGCTCCATCTGAACCCTCTTTGAATGGACAAACAGTCCACTGAGTGGCTGTGTCGTCCTGTGACTGAATGCTGAGTGGCTTCTCAGTATTTTAAAGTGTTGGTAAGGCTGTGATATGTCTATATATGCATGAGGGTTTTACCTGTTACTGAGATTATTTTTCTTAGTGTAGAATTCCTGAAATTGGAAGTTGTATGTTTTTAAGGCGTATTGCCAAATAGTCTCTAAAAGTTTGTCCCAGTTTGCAAAGCCACCAGCAGTGGGCTGGGAACTGTTCTTTATCTGTTTGCTTTTAAAGGGGAGGCGTTTGGTTCCACTAATGTGATTATTGGATTGTTTCCAACAGGTAAACAGAATTCTGGGAAGCCCACTTCTGGTGTGTAGAAGCTCTGGGCTCCTCTGACCCCACACCTCCTGCTCCCTGTTGCTGGCTCCTTGCACTTTGAGCCTCACCTAGTTCCTCTGTGTGGACAGAGGCTTCCCATCTATCGCAGCCATGAACTTCCTCCGGAGGCGTCTATCTGACAGCAGCTTTGTGGCCAACCTGCCCAATGGCTACATGCCGGACCTGCAGCGCCCAGAAAGCTCCAGTAGCTCCCCAGCATCCCCGGCCACTGAAAGGAGGCACCCCCAGCCCCTGGCTGCCTCCTTCTCTTCTCCAGGATCCAGCCTGTTCAGCTCCTTCTCCAGTGCCATGAAACAGACTCCACAGACCCCCTCGGGGTTAATGGAACCACCAACTCCTGTCACACCCGTGGTTCAGAGACCCAGGATCTTGTTGGTGATCGATGATGCCCACACAGACTGGTAAGCAGCTTCAGGGATGGAGCCTGCATGGGGCTGTCTCACCTCTCGGGAGGACAGAATAGAAAATCAAGTGCTATAAAAGGCTTATATGGTTTCTGAGGCTAGCTGGGAGAAGGAGGGGTTCATCGAAGAGAAGCTGTGTACCTTTTTCTCTCGGGACCGTATATGAACAGAGCCCCATCTGCAAACCCCACATTTAACAGCTCTGAAATAAACAGAGACCCCAGGTCGGGGAAGTTCTATATATATGCTTTAAACATCTTAAAGTGGTTGATATGGGTGTTGCAAGTGTTCTAGAAACACAGCACGGGAACCATATGACCTTTCTGAAGAAGCAAAGTTCTCAAGTTGCTATTTAATCCAACTTTTTAAATATAAGTCTATCTGTATTGTGTGTGTGTGCTTGTGTGTATGTGTGTCCTCGTGTGTGTGGGTACGTGTTTGTGTATTAACGAATACGCTCTGTGTAGAGGCCTGGAGTTGACATCACGTGTCTTCCTGGACTGGTCTCCACTTTGTTTAGAGGCAGGATCTCTCAATCAATCAGGAGCTTACTGATTCTTGCTGGATGAGCTAACCAGCTTACCTCCCCTTACCCTATCCCCCATCCCTGCCACCCGGGATTCCTGTCTCTGCCTTCTGAGGACTGGGATTACCGGTTGCCACCAGCCTGCCAGGCTTGTACATGGATTCAGGGATCTGAACTCCAGTCCCCCTGCTTACAAGTCAAACAGTATATGCACTGAGCCGTCTCCACGGCCCCTAACCAGACATCTGGCCTTATTCTGCACTGGCTGTCTTACCTAAGAAAGTTGCTTCCTGTCTGAAAATGGAGTTTAATAATGGAGATCCTGTGCCGTGGTGTGGTAACAGCTAGGCAGAGTTCCTGTCCTGTCCCCCAAGCCCTCTTGCAGCTGTGTGGCTCTTGTAACTTGCTGTGCCTAATGCAGTACCTACGTTATAAAGGGGCTTTATGGAAGTCGGTAATGCCTAAGTTAATATGAAAGTACCCAGCGATGCCATTTAAATATATATGCTTGCTATTATAGAGGGCTGTGGCCCCCTCTGCATGACACCGACTATGACAGCAGAACCTTCCAGGCATTCTTAGCTTGTGTCTTTATCCCCAGTATTGTGCAGAAAGGGCAGGGTTTATCCCCCTGTGCCCGTTTCCTGTTGGTCATGCCTTCTTGATTAGTCTGTGGGTGATTGCCTCGGGTTTACTGCTCTATGTCTACCCATAGAACATGTGGTATTGTGGCAAGGCACAGTGAACAAGGCAGGGACCCATCCAAGTAGCGTTTACATTTTGTCTTTGGTCATCAATCTCCTTAATCTACAGGAATGAGGAGTGTATAAATCTTAGGTGCTGCCCCCTTGTGGGTGGGAGCTGGAGATACACTTTTGGCCTAAGTAGTCTCTCCACCCTTTAATTGGAACAACAGCGTTTGGTTTCTGGCGTCCTTCTTGCCCTTTGGTGGGGAAAAGAAACTGATGTTCGTGGGCTCGCCTGGAAGTTGGCTCCACGGTCATTGAATATTTGTGACTGAGAAACTTCCCACCACAGACCCATCAGCTTCTCCTTTGAACTCCTTTCTTGAATCTTTCTAACCACCCAGCATTACCCAGTCATCTTCAAACTGATGTTCACTGGGTGCCTAAAATGGGTCTTGCTGGTTGTGGTGGTGCACTCCTGAAATCCGTGCACTCAGGACGCTGAGGTTAGGAGGATTGTGAGTTCAAGGCCAGCCCTGGCTATGTAGGGAAACTGTTTTCAGACACCAGAAGATTCTCAATCCTGCCTACAGTTCTCCAAAAATGCCTGGCCGCAACTACCAAAAGTGGCCACCAGGTGTCGGGCTAGTTCCATAGTTCCGCGTATCCTGGCCGACTGCCTCCAGGTCCAGCTTCTTCCCAGCTCCTCCTCCTTTGTGTGAAGATCTCTAGCGGGGAGGAGATTGTGAAAAGAGAAGAAGCTAGCTCCCACAGCTCCTTCCTTCCCTTTTGAGATGATAATGAGGTGGGCACTTACTGTCTGGGCTGAGAGTGACCCCACCCCCATCCCCACAGACACGCTGCTGTCCCATTCCTGACCCTTCTCAGGCTGAGCCCTCTAAGCTGTCTTCCCTTTCCTGGGCCAGGGCCAATCTAGCTCATGAGGTTTCCTTGCAAGCAGAGGGTGTTGCGGGAACCCATGCCTTTTCTGGGAGCGCAGCTGGCAGGTTATTTCAACCCGCGGGCTCCCTCAGTTCCACCTGAGAACTGCCTAGAACAGTGCAGAAGGGACCTTGCCTTTCTTTTATTGTATTTTTTCTTAATTTTCTTCCCACCTAGTCCCTCAGTGACAATACCCTTGGAGAAAATGATACGACCCTTTATGGCAACCATTAGCAGTCATTAACCCCTCAGGAAAGAGCGGGGTCTTATGGGTACCTCTTCTCTCTACGATGGAATGTGGCAGGGTCCAATATTACACAAGTCTCCATAGCTGCTGTGTGTTCATGGTTACAGTAATGTCGTGTCTGGGTGGCAATGTTTCATGACACTCCCCCCACCCTCCTAGTCTTCAGTTCTATCTGCCCTTCCCTCTGACACTCCCAGGCCTTGATGTGGAAATGATATAGATGCCCCAATTAGGGATGAATGCTCATCAATCACTTAGACCAGATATTAATCTTTGCATTAAGTGGCGTCTTCTGCAAAAATGGAGCTTCTCTGCCCAGGGCTGAGAACCGGCATTAGTCTACAGGTGTAAACACAAATATTTAGAAGACGGTTTGGCAGCCTGTCCCTGGAGAGAACCAGTAGGGAGATGCTGTCCCTTTGAGCCCATGCTCTTTTCCACCACAGGCTTTTGCTTGGGTTTATAGTGCTTTGTATTTTCTGAAAAGAAATTCAGATCACAAAGCCACCTTTGCTGCAAGGATTCATGGCTGAACACTTTGAGGTGCAGCTTGTAGAGGTGAACCTAGCCAGGGCAAGGGTCACTGGAGAACCTCTGGCAACACTACTGGAGGCATGGTTTTGTGACAGGTGTGGCGCTATTTCATTTATATTTTAATAAATAAAACTTACCTGGAGATCGGAGGATAAAAGAGCCTGCTGGTCAGCCTTGCAGTCCAGGCAGTGGTGACACACACCTTTAATCCCAGTAGCCACACTAGTTTGCCATAGAAACCAGGCAGTAGTGGTTACACCGAAGAAGTTATAGGCACTATCAGTACATAGCATTGCTCACCGGCACTTCCCAGTAGACCTACCAGGGGCTGTTTTCCAGGTGAGGAAGCTGCAGAAGATCTACACACCTGCTTGAGGAGTCCAAACAAGAGGCTGGGCTGGGAGGGGAACAGGAGCTGCCTTCCCACCCAAGCCTTTTATGTTCGGCATGATGGAGATGCCAGGCAGTGTGGATGAAACAGAAGGGTAAAGATGCGTTAAGATCTACTGGGGACTCTCGGAGGACCAGATCCTGTCCCCACTGTTACATGAACAACATTTATAGATGGACTAATATCTCTAACAAAAACAACTTAAGAAAGAACTGGTTTATTACGGCTCTGAGTTCCAGGCTGAGTCCCTCACCAAGGGGGATCTCAGGAACTTGAGGAACATGGTTATGTAGAACCCATAGTTAGAGAGAGAGCATTTTGCCACCCAGTTTGTTCTCTCCATATTAAACAGTCTAGGGGTCCTCTGCCCGGGGAATGGTCCCTCCCACAATTAAGATGGGTCTTCTCACATCAATTAACATAATTTCGATACTCCCTACCGACATACCCAGAGGCCCATCTCTCGGGTGACTTTAGATGAGTCAATTCTGTCAATTCAGACGAACACTGACAATCTCCTGCACTCCCCGTCACTAGGCATTGTGCTAGGTAGTTTTTACCCATTCTCTAATTTAGTCTTCCTAATTGCTGTGTGGGTACTAATACTATTGTTTTTTTATAAGTAAGAAAGCTTGAGGCTCAGTGCCCCAAACCAAAGAGGTGTTCCTGGCATCTTGGGATCCCGCTAGGGCATTTGAGGACAAGCCTGGGTGTCACTATGTTCTTGCTGTTCTCCCAGCTGCACCTGAAGCCCAGGACCTCCTGTGCCGCTTGTGCGCAGGCTCTGACCCTGCTTCCTCCTCCTCTGCACGCACACATATCCAGCCTCAGACAGCCCAGCTGAGAGAATGGTGGCAGAACCCCATTCACATCTCATTGGCCGAGCACAGAAGCCTGGTGGCCTCACCCTGGAGGGAAGTGCCCTGCCCCATCCAGGCGGCCTCACCCTGACAGACAGAGTGTTAAGGTGCCAGGAGGAATGGGAGTCCTTGAAGACATCCAGACACTCATGGTCACAGACTGGCAAAGTGAACCTTGTGGAGAAATTGCACTTGGACACACAGAATATTTTTTCCTCTCTTTAAAGTACCAAGGGAGCTCAGGCAGGGGCTCTACCATTCTTTTCCCTTTGATATTAAGGTTGTCACCTCCAGGAACACATGCCAGACATTATTTTCTATGGGAATTAAATGGAAAATTGAATAAATTCTGGAGAAGTTGGGTCTGATAGGTGGCAGCTGAGAATTAAGACCCACGCTTGACCGTCATCCTCTCTGTGTCTCTGCCAGCTTGCTTGTGAGCCTCAGTTTCTTTGTGTGTAAAGTGGGTGTTAGCACCATCCCTTTCCCTACCTCACTGACCTCGAGGGGACATGATGAAGAAGCCCCTTCTCATCTCTTTCACGTGAATTTTGCAGCACGTGCTATTTCTCCAGCTGAGTCTCACTATTCTGAGTTCCACCTTTAGGCACCAAATAGCTTCTGTTTCTGCCATAGGAAGATTAGAGCTTGTGGTGTCTTGGGAAGGTTCTCTCGGAAGACACTTGGTGCTGTGGAATTCAGGAAGGCTCCCGACACTTTCTTGCTACTCCCAAGGTTCCTGCTGCCATCCCTGGGTGGTAAAAAGAAAGGCTCCAGCATTCTATTGAGATGTCAGACGGCTCCTGGCTGC